TGACAACTTCGTAGCTTGGTGCAGAAAATAGTGTACCGAGTACAAGGTATGGTGCAAGGAATTATGATATCTACTATGGTAGAGAACTTCGGACATGGTGCGTTCTACTAAGTCACCTAGACAACAAGAATAACTAGCGAATACGAGATCAACCCACTTTTAAACTTAAATATTCTTACATTCTGATGGTCTGTCTATACAGAATTTCAGGTCAGGAATAAATTTCTATATAATTTAAGTACTGCCAAGTGTTGATAAGGACAATCAAAACTATAATTGACCTTAGGATAACCTAAAGATTTTTCAAGTACAAAATAAGGGCGAATAATTCACTTAGCTTTCTTCCGAATTGTAAAGGTATCAAAATATAATTAGCGTACCTTATTCTATTCGTGCTTGTACGTTTTTAGGTCTCTACTACCCACCAGCAAAGGCTATAAGGCAACCACTTTAGCAGATAGTAAAATAGCTCCATAAATCTCATGTGGTTGATATTTAGAACTAAACTGGCATATTAAACTTTATTAAATAAACTTATTTCTGACCAATGGCTTTTCGACTTCGGTTACTGCATTAGATATCCAAAATAATAATTATTCTTGTTGTTCCTTTCCCTCAGAAATTCTACTCCAGTTTTTATCTTATGAATAAGCCTAGATGTATGATGATTGGTTTATCGTATCTTCTTAGGTGGTAGCAATTTGTTGGGTGGCTCCGGAAACCTTGTCTCTGGCAATGAGGTTATTGGAACTGGTGCTGCTCTCAACCCAGGCGTTGAATCATCCTTTTCGGAACCCAGTGTTGAAGAAGATCTGGCTAGTCTTCCTGATGAAGTGCAAGTTGAAGAAGAACAAGCCTTCCTGGCCCGGCTTCATCTTCAACTGGCCAACTTGCCATCCCTGAATGCTTCTGCAGCGTCAGTGTCAGCGCCTACATTGGCTGCTGTTGCTGCGGTAGCAACGTCACAGACTGAGTTAATAAGGCCACTGGGGCTTGGCGGTGAATTGGCGACCACCAGTGGATCAATCCTTTCTCCATCTATTGGGCCGGCACTCCTCATTCAGGCAAGATCTTTGCAAGCTTTGAATTATGAAAAAGGCATTACATATAACTTAAATATTGGGCTTAATTTCATTTCTTTTTAAGGTATGAGATGAGAAGGTTGGTAGATTGTTCTCTCAAGAAAATATTAGCGTATTTTCATTGAAATCAAATAGTCTGATCTTACGGATTAATCGAAGCTGTCGATATCCTCTAAGCCTAGGTTTAACGTTCTGATGAGGTCATACAGTTGTATTAAAATAATTTAGAGCAACAAATCTATCTTATAGCAAATCCAACTTGGAACTTATTACCGACATCAAAGGTGGTGACATAAGGGCCATTATGGCCCAGGATCCAGAAGAAAAACAAATTGTAACATAATGAAAATAAGTCAACACTTATCTCCATAAAAAAATGACCCGCTTAGGTAAGAACAACACGACGTTGATTTTCTGAGGCCCAGCTTAATTTCACCCATGTCTTTCATCATATATCAAAGTGATTGAAAATGTATAAGCTATCGACGAAATGTTTCCTAAAAATCCCATCCAAGGTATTTTCTTTAGTGGGATATATCTTTTGCTTCGTGCGAATTAAGCCGACAATTCCAGATAAAGCGAAGATTAATGCAATGATATCAGTACTCCTACAGTTGATAATCGTTGCATTAATATCCGCTCTTTAATGTTCCTTTCTTGTTTGAAAAGCTTGCCTCAAGCAATTACTTATTTATGATACGTAAATTACTAGTTAATCTCGGTATATTATTACATGAATGCTAATTAAACGATTCAGAATTTGGGATATGGATAACGTAAACCGTTACAGAAGGGGTTTGATCCTATTTTCGCAACTGGGATGTATTGGTGATGATATACGCCCCCAGAGGATCGCCCTTTTCTCCGGAGTCCGAAGTAACCAACATCATTTTTTAGCAACTGACCGTAGACTTGATACATCCTTAAATGTTCCGTAGACATCGAAGTAGGCATCGAAGTCGGAATCGTCATTGAGCCTTACCATTATTTACAACACACAAAAATTCGCCAAGGAGACAAATGGAGTCATTTCTTTGACCAATTGTCTACTGAACAGTTGTGGTATCGCTTCTTATTTCTTGATCAAAGTATTTTAGTAATTTTATTTATTGTTGTCGGAATATCTTTTGTATAATTATTACATCAAATCTACTTTTTGCATTTAAACAAAAATCTCACAATTTATGCCCAACCTTTGTGATAATTAACACGGAAGTCATATCCTATGACTAAGCTATATTGTATAAGACTTTTATTTTAATGTCCAACTTCTATGTAGATTTTATAATTTAATCAATATCATATTTAAAAATTAATATATCATTTAAAATATAATTATTCAAAAACGATACAATATTTATATTATGGATGTGGATCTGTAGTATACTCATTGCTTGGAAGTATATTTCTAAAACATTAACGGTTATATGTTTTTATTAACTTAGATAAGTTCAGTTTGGCAATAAAAACATTTCAAATTGGATACTGAGCCATATACATAATTTACATTTCAACCATTATTTAGCTGGTATAAAACAACATTTGAGAATTCGAGAATTCGATTCATATTGCGAGTAGCTTTAGCAGAGACCACTATTATTGTTTATTAGCTTAAACTATAAATTATTACTATATCAAGCATCAGAACAAGTGCATCTAAATCATAACGACTAG